TTTTGAGGTTATCCGCTGACAAGTTGCTACTTCTCATAGGATCGCAGGCTCAAGTTCAATTTCTTTAAAATGCATACAAAATAAGTCGTGTTCATGAGCCGCACTTTTAATATTTTGATTTCGAACTGACCTCGGCCGCAAAAATTCAACTGGCTTTTACATGCAGGAAAGGCAATCGCTTTTGTCTTTTCTCACTGTCACGCGTTGATCACGCTCTACGTCCAATTTTTATGTTTTGATTGGTCACAATTTGACAGGTGACTTCATGCGGAATATTTATGCAGCGTCTGGAAACTTGCTTACTGATAGCTGAAGCTGACACTAAGGCCTGTTTCAAACGTCGTGCTACCGCCGTGCTAAGCTGGCTCGACTGTAGCTCGACTGCAGCACGACACTAGCACGACTTGGTTTCAGACGTCAAATTTAATTCACGCAATGACAGTCGAATGGAACGGCTGCTGCGAAAAACAAAACACAAAAATAAAGAAACGGTTTAGCAAACTCTTAAATATATCACAATGTGTAGCACGGCAAGGCTTGCCGTGCTACACGGCAGTAGCACGACTTGGTTTCAAACGTCGCGCTACTGCCGTGCTAAAGTCGAATTTAATTCAATCAATTGAGTTCGGCACGGCAGTAGCGCGACGTTTGAAACGGGCCTAAGGTCCATGAGGAAATCTCTTTTCAAAACTTTTAGTTATCTTTCTTCTTTCGCGTTATGAGACCTTGTTTATATGGCTACACGGCTCATGCATGTAATTCTAAACATTTTAATGTAAAATAACGCAATGATTACAGTATACGTAAGTTTTTACATGGAAAGAAACAGGTTTTGGCTTGGAGATTTTCTCACAAGCGGCCCCAGAAAGGAGCGCATGAAAGAAAAAATATAGTGTTTCGAAAACGAGAAAAAAAAAAAAAAACGCCACTTAAATATAGCTCTTGTCATAAACTATATCTTTACATCGATGAGAACGAAATGCACATTTCATCGCATTGGTCAGTACAACAAGCGGTTTTACTTTGTGTCTCCTAATCTTCAAAATCTCCAGCACGGCGTTCCTGAAACAGCGATCCTCTGTAGAAGTAAACGAGTGGATTAGTTACAGAATTTAAATGTCCAAAAATATGTCCGCTATGACACATCACCAAACGTTGGCGAAAGACTGGATAAAGTCCTTGTATCATACCACCAACAACAATTGGGAAAAAGGAAAGAAACAGGGCAACCGTAACCATAGCAGTCGACTTAGCTACTTTATGTTCGAGTTTTTCTTTCACTAACTCGTTGACTTGGCAAATTTGATGGCGTTTGGGAACTCATGCTAAGGTACACCATGACAGCAAAATCTATTATAAGACCCAGGGCAAGGACTAACAAAATTGAAAGAACAATGAGGAAAATTTCCACAGAATCTCCCCCATTAAAATCGAAAAGTACTTAAGAATGGTAGAGATACTATTGCTGATACCCAAGCTATTATTGCCAGGTTTTTATAAGGCTTTTAGTCACCATCACTTTGTAGTCAATCCGTTTTCCAATGGCCACGTACCTTTCCCATGCAATCATTGTCAGATGGAAAATCGAACAAATCGTAAGAGTAACTGTGGACCAAATGGCAACAAAGTCCAGCACGCAAACTGTAATGTTCAGCCAGTGTTTGATAAGAAACTAACAGTCCAACCAAAGCAGATAACGGTACACATAAACCTCCTACTTAGAAGAACTGTAATGGCCATACTTGATAGCAAGGTATTGGAATTACCGCTATGACTACAAGTGTTCAAAAGAACTGCAGCTGGAGAGGTTATAGACGTGACTGCGGCAAAATCCCAAGGAAAAGTAGTGTCATGTATAAAATCCCAAACTAACTGTGGTTCGTGTGGGTAACAAAACATTGACCTGGTTGTGTTCGAAAAGAAGGAAGTGTTCAGTTCTGCTTTGTGTTGGTCCATGATGAATCCCTTTTTAAAAACTTTTAGTTAACTCATCTTTTTCTTAGTTAAGAGGCCTTGCTTATATAGTTTACAAAGCGCGTGTTATTCTTATAAGAAGTGTGAATGGCGGTAGTATTATAGTAAGTGTTTATATGAAAAAAACACAGCTTGTGGCTTGGTGATTTTTCTCATATATAAGCGGCCCAGAAAGGAAAATGCGAAATTTCACTTTATTGTACGGAAACGATTTCACATTGTCTACAGCTTCGACGATAGTTTACTGCTAATCAAAAGGTCAAAACATTAACATATCAAAACCGCAAATGATCACTCTTTTTTTGCTTATAAATAGTTAACATTTTGGAATATTTTTAAACAGTTAGAGAAAATAGAAATTCAATCATTAGCGTAAATGTGAAATTGATTTCAGGACAATATTCGTGTTTTTCCGTTCGTTTTCGTACTTTTTTTTTAAAAAATTCATTTTACAATTTTTATAACTTTTTCTTGTATATTTTCTTTATAGAGAGTTAAATGACCTTATTTCCTAATAAAGCCATTCCGCCTTTTACCTTCGAATTGTATTTTATTTTACAGTCAAATATGATCCTTTCTAAAGTAATCTATGATAGCCTGTTTTATTTTTGTCAGCCTCGAGTTAACTAATTTTGGCTCTTCAAGAAAACTAGAGACCTGTAATTTATTAGTAGAAGTGTTACCGTATAAAGCCTTGTTGAGTAGCCCCCCGTCTCCCACCCGAGGGCCACACAATCAGGGGAACACCGCCGATCTATGTTGAACCACCATCAACTAAGCGATCCCACTCCTGTCCTCGGGGGAAGGACTCCCATATGAAAGGGGCGGGGATGCCCGTCGGAAATTTTGAATTAAACCCCTAAAGGAGATCAATCTGGGCGTGGCCCAACCTTTTTTTGGACCCCTGAAAGCGATCATTTTAAACTTTGATTACCTGAATCGAGTAAATAAAACGAATTGAAAATATATAATTTTTAAATATTTCTTCGAGTGCAACCTTAAAAGAGACCTTGACGGCTAAATATAATGGTGTTTTGCCCAGAACACGCTAAGCGAGACCAAAATCTGAAATTTACACCCCTAAGCGAGACGACGAGCATCCCCGGCCTTTTTATATGGGAGTTTCCCCCCGGGCTCCTGTCTCCCTACATTTCTATCAAGCAGGACATTCAATCAAAGACGTTCTTCTAATCCCACTTGAACACATACGCGGTAACCGTGATGCAGTGAGAAAGGCTAGGGAGGCTAATTTAATACACAGGGAACACATTTTCTCCTCTAGGAATAAGTGAAGGTGATGAAACTCTTTGATATACGATATTATCTAGTCTCCTACACCAACAACAATCTACTGTTTTTATTTTTATATTTTCGAACTCTTATTTGTAAAGAACTATTAGTTTTATCTTCATTTTTCTTTTAGCCCCCGAAGAAAGTTTGTTTTCAAACCGAAATATTAGGCAAATTTGTTGAAATATACATTTTTTGTTTTATTCTTTTGTCACTTCTTCATCGCCTTGCCGTAAGGATCAGTTTGCCGTTTCATATTTTCACACAATTAGCGCCTGAAAGGTCTTACTCTGTTTCCGTTAGCTCGGGGGTGTCCCCAGTATTGTAGTGGTTGTTCCTTGGTGTATCATAAACCACGAGAAGACGAGATTACGCCAATGGAAAGATAATTATAGGTATTAAGAAAGAATAAAAAAATCATGAAGAAAAGCTAACACTTCTGACTTAAGTTTTCTGTTTGCCATATCTTGAGTTGTACAAACGTTGAAGCTTGCTTTTCTCTCAAGAACTGACTTTAAATGGGAAAATTTCGAGTTAGAAAACATGACCCTCACTGTCGAAATCAAGCTAAATCCAAAGCCTTTCTTGACAAAATGAATTTTATTTCCAAGGGAAAAAATGAAAAATCCCCAGGAGGGGACTCCCATATGAAAGGGGCGGGGATGCTCGTCGGAAATTTTGAATTAAACCACTAAATATTAACGGCTAAATATAATGGCGTTTTGCCCAGAACACCCTAAATGAGACCAAAATCAGAAATTTACACCCCTAAGCAAGGCGACCAGCATCCCCGTCACATTCAGGCCTTCGCCCTTACAAAAGTTATAAAACATGCAGAGGTTGGGGGAACGAGAAATTGGTTTATGGGTGTCCCCAGAGATTTTTCAGAGGTACTTTCAAGTGAGGCCAAATTTTTCTGGAAAACGCTAAAGCAGAAATACACACTTTTTAAGTTATTCCTCAGAAACCATCCGTTCCTTCGCTTTGATTTTTATGTTTTGTTTTTGTTTTTATTTATCTTTAGAAAGCGCAGGAGGCATTCGTTTAGGAGGGAAAACAATAATTTTAGGCCAGTAAACTAGTAGTCTGCTACACAGGCGTTCTTGCGTCGTCACGCAACGCTCCTCCACACAAGCCCGTTAGTGGGAAGAAGCGTTGCATGACAGCACAATGAGTGGCTGTGTTGCAGACTAGTGAACTAGTAATAAAATCTTTTCTAATGTCAGTTTTTACCTAAATCCAGCGGAAAAAAAAGAAGAACTTGAAAGAGAGTTATTCATTTTATTTCTCTGCAAGACTTGCAAAGATGAGCATCATCAGTTTAGTTAAGCTAATAGCTTTACTCCTAAATTTCAAGAAAGGAGGCTAAATGAAAATGGGGTTGTGGAACAACAGCTGGGTGAAAAACGTCTCTGAACATCTACTTGTTCCAAGGAGGAAAACACCAGGGCAGCTGTATCCCATTTGAAGGTTCCCCTAGGCTCAGTCGCCATGGCTTAAACTTGACACCAATACTGGCTGCTCTTTCAACTAATCCAGTCACGTCCAAACGGAAAACTGGCAACCAGTGATAAGATATCGGGGTGTTCAGAAACAGTTGAATTCAGATGTTTATGCTGAAAACTTCTAAAAATAAAATAGATATAATGACTGAGAAGACAACAGTACGTTTCCTCATTAGTCTGCTGTGCATGCCAGAGAAAGCCGTCGAACGTCGGGCATTATAATTATCTGGATCACTGTAGTCTGTCTGGTTGTTGCAATAAGTCGTTGTAAAAACTGCTCATACGGAGAGACGGAGATGACATAGTTCGATTGAACGCTTTTTTGTGAGACTCAAGTTGAAATCGACCTAAGAAATGGACCAAATCACACGATGCTGATTTTGTCAAACGAACAGGGTTTTCCACTTGTTGTCCTTGTACCTTATCTCTTTCTGAATCAAATACATCCTTCCCTCTGGCGAATCTTGCTGCATCGGTTACAACACATGGCGTTACTTTTGGTTTTCTGATCCTCAAAATCTCCAGCACGGCGTTCCTAAAACGACAGTCTCTGTAGCAGTAAATAAACGGATTTACTACAGAATTTGAATACAGAAGTGTGTCCCTTAATTGTAACACAAAACGTTTACGAAGAACTGGATAAACTCCTTCCAACATACCAATAACAGCATTTGAGAAGAAGGCAAGAATCAGGGCAACCGTTACTAAAGTAGTCGTCACAGCTACTCTCTGTTCGAGTTTCGCGTTCACCAACTCGCTGACTTGGCGAATTTGACTTAATTTACGTTTGCGAACTCCAAGGTACACCATGAAATAAAAATATATGATAAGACTTAGGGCAAGGAATAAGAAAGCTGAAAGAACGAGAAAGAAAATTTCCAGAGCTAAAGCCATCTCATTCTCTCTCAAAATCCCTCTGAGTGCCGTAATAAAATGTGTTGGCGATACAGTTACTATTGCTGATACCCAAGCTATAATCGCCAGCTTTTTCAAGCGGCTTCTAGTCACTATAACTCTGTAGTCAATCCATTTTCGAATGGCCACGTACCTTTCCCAAGCAATCATTGTCAGATGGAAAATCGAACAAATTGCAAGGGTGATCGTGAACGAAATCGCCACAGAGTCCAATTTGCAAATGTAATGGTCAGCCTGTATTTGATAAGGAACGAGCAGTCCAACCACAGCAGATAACGGTACACATATACTTCCTACTAGAAGATCTGTAATGGCCATACTTGATAGCAAGATATTGGAAGCTCTCTGCAGTTCTTTCCTTTGCTTTACTGCTATGATCACAAGTGCGTTTAAAAGAACTGCAGTTGGAGAGATTATAGATGCGATAGTGGCAAAAATCCAAGGCGAAGTTGTGTCATGTAAATCCCAAACTAAATGTGGATCGTGTGGACAATAAAACACTGACCTGGCTGTGTTCGAAAAGGAGGAAGTGTTCAGTTCTGCTTCGCGTTGATCCATGATGAAATATCTTTTGAAAACTTTTAGTTATCTTTCTTCTTTCGTGCTATGAGGCCTCGTTTATATAGCTTACACAGCCCATGTGATTCTAAACATTTTAATGTAAAATAACGCAATGATTACTTAACAGTAAGTGTTTATATGAAAAGAAACAGGTTGTGGATTGGAGATTTTTGTCACAAGCGGCTCCAGAAAGGAGCGTATGAAAGAAAAAAAATTTGTTTAGTTACGAAACACTTAGGAGGCATGATATAATATTAAATTTACCGCTATGATCACAAGTGTGTTTAATAGAACTGCGGTTAAAGAGATTATAGATGCGACAGCGGCAAAAATCCAAGGCGAAGCAGTGTCATGTAAATCCCAAACTAACAGTGTGGCTCGTGTGGGCAATAACTCACTCTCTCTCTGACCTAGCTGTGTTCGAAAAGGAGAAGTGTTCAGTTCTGCTTCGCTTTGATCCATCAGACGAAATCCCTTGTCAAAACGTTTAGTTATCTTTCTTCTTCTGCGTTAAACAATAACGCCAAGCATTACAGTTTCTGTAAGAGTTTACACGAACAGGTCGTGGCTTGAAGATTTTCTCACAAGCAGCCCCAGAAAGGAGCGCATGAAGAAACAAAAAAAAATTGTTTAGTTACGAAACACTTACGAGCTATGAAATACTCATTTTTAAGTGTTCGTGAGTTCTGGACCAAACTGAAATCTGGCCTATAATTTTCTAATAACTTAAATTACTTTGGGGTCAAAAACATTAACGTTTTAAAACTGCAAATGATCGCTCTTTTTAAACAGTTCCAGAAAGTAAAAACTCAAACATTATCGTAAATGTTTAAAATATTAGTTCTTCCCTAATTTTTTATTTAAAAAATATTATTTCATTAAAACTTTCTCTTCTTTTCTTTATGTAGACTTCAATTAAATGACTTGTTAATTTAGCCATTCCGCCTTTTATCTTCAAATTGTATTTTATTTTACAGTCGGTTTTTTCAATAAGCTTCATTATCGGATGTCTGGTCACAATTATGCCTTAAACTTTACATGGGAGAGATTTTTGAGAAAAACTGAGTGTGTTATCGTTTTTGGGTCCACAGTCGAAATCAAACTTGAAATCCAAGCACCTGGTTACTTTAAACGAGGAAAAAAAAAATCCGCCACTCAGTTGAATAGCTCTTGTCATAAACTATCTTTACATTAGAACGAAATGTACATTTCATCGCATCGGTCAGTACAACAAGCGGTTTTCCTTTGTGTCTCCTAATCTTCAAAATCTCCAGTAGCAGTAAACGAGTGGATTAGCCATAGAATTTAGATTTACAAAAATATGATGTCCGCTATACGCATCGCGAAACGTTGACGAAAGACTGGATAAATTGCTTGTATTATACCACCAACAATAATTGAGAAAAAGGAAACCAAAGTAATTGTCATAGCTACTTTGTGTTCGAGTTCAGTTCGTTCACTAGCTCGTTGACTTGGCAAATTTGATGACGTTTGCAAACGCTAAGGTACACCATGACATAAAAAATATATTATAAGACCCAGGGCAAGGACTAACAAAATTGAAAGAACAATGGGGAAAATCCAGAGTTAAAACTAACTCTTTCTCCCCCATCATCCTAGAAAAGTACTTAAGAGTGGTCGAGATACAGTTACTATTGCTGATACCCAAGCTATTATCGCCAGCTTTTTCAAGCGGCTTGCTTCTAGTTACTATAACAGTCTATAGTCAATCCATTTTCGAATGGCCAAGTACCTTTCCCATACCATCATTGTAAGATGGAAAATAGACCAAATCGTGAGAGTGACCGTGGACCATATCGCAACAAAGTCCAGCAAACAAACTGTAATGGACAGCCAAACTGTAATGGCTCACTTGAATATATTTAATTATATAGATATTTGCGCCTTATAAGTTTTTGACATTAAATTAAATTAGTAATTGATAAGAAACTAACAGTCCAACCACAGCAGATAACGGTACACATAAACCTCCTACTAGAAGATCTGTAACGGCCATACTTGATAGCAAGACATTCGAAGCTCTCTGCAGTTCTTTCCTTTGCTTTAGTGCTATGATTACAAGTGTTCAAAAGAACTGCAGTTACAGAGATTATAGATGCGACAGCGGCAAAAACCCAAGGAAAAGTAGTGTGTTGTATAAAATCCCAAACTTACTGTGGTTCGTGTGGCCAATAAAACATTGACCTGGTTGTGTTTGAAAAGAAGGAAGTGTTCAGTTCTGCTTCGTGTTGGTCCATGATGAATCCTTTTTTAAAAAACTTTTAGTTAATTCATCTTTTTCTTAGTTATGAGGCCTTGCTTACATAACTCACACAGCGTGTGTTATTCATAAAATCCTATAAGAAGGGTGAATGGCGCTAGGATTACAGTAAGTGTCTGTATTTGAAAAAACGCAGGTTGTGGTTTGGTGATTTTTCTCATATATAAGCGGCCCAAAAAGGAAAATGCAAAATTTCACTTTATCGAATACTGAACGATTTCACGTTGTAAAAAACAAAAATGTTTACTCACGAAACACTTCCGAGCTATGAAAAACTCGCTTTAAAGTTCATGAAGTACGGTGTTCGTGAGTTCTGGATCAAACTGAAACTTCGGCGATAATTTACGGCTAATCAAGTGACAGTTAAGGTCAAAACATTAACATATCAAAACCGCAAATGATCACTCTTTTTTTGCGTACTTGTAGTTTACATTTCAAAGAGCTGCAGAAAATAGAAATTCAATCATTAGCGTAAATGTGAAATTGATTTCAGGACAATATTCGTGTTTTCCATTCGTTTTCTTAATTTTTTATTAAAAATTTATTTTACAATTTTTAAAACTTTTTCTTGTATATTTTCTTTATAGAGACCGGAGTTAAATGACCTTATTTCCTAATGAAGCCATTCCGCCTTTTATCTTCGAGTTGTATTTTATTTTAAACTCGGTTTTCAACAAGCTTCATTTTCAGATGTTTGATCACAATTATGCCTTATAATTTTTGCATAAGAGAGACGTTTTTAAATCTCTCCTCTGTGAAAACATTCTCATCGCAACAAATTCACGACAAACACCAAAAATAGAGATGACCAATATTTACTAATTTTTCCATTCGCTGGTTTTTAGGGTGAAGAGAAATGCATGTCTTTAACTTTATAAGAAATGAAAAGTAGACAAAAACCGAATGTTTTATCGTTTTCGAGTTGACAATCGACCGGCAAATATTTAAAACATGTGAATGTAAATGAAATGTAAGTTATACTCAAACGACACCAATATTCCAGCCAATATTCCAATGTTCCTAACGCGCGCTTTTATACCCGCGTGGGGACGCCGAAATATCTCATTACGAAACCAATAGAAAATCAGGTAAAAATTGTAACTACGCTAGTAACTAGGATCAAATCATCAAGGCATGAAAGTCACGAAATCAATGAAAAGGTATTGTTCTTTATGTTTTGTCCTTTACACCGATTCTATGAGTCATTATTTTGAGGACTGTTAGAGAGAAACCTTGCATACAGATATCCAGAAGGACTGAAACTGCTGATATGAAACTGGTTTTTACTATTCTACCGATTTTTATCGCGCTCGGCACAGGTACATTGTAAATCACAGGGACACCCAACGAGAATATAGTTCAAAACCACTTAAACTAAACGTATTTTAGTATTTAAACGGCAGATATTGGCATATTTTTATCCCCTAACAATTTTTCATCTGTTCGGATTTCCTAGCTGAAAGTCTAGTGATCCGTAAATTATAGGGATCAAAACTTGCCTTTTCGAAAATTCAGCCAGGTAAAAGGCTCCCGAAAATTCTAGGTGATCTTTTTAGGGTAAAAATCAGTTAAAAATGGGAAATTATACCACTTTTTAGATATTCGAAAATCCTAAGAGAGGCAGGCAAGCAAGAAATTTTACAACAAATGTTCCGAAAATTCTAGATCTCAAATCGTCTTCCGAACAGATATTTTCCGAAAATTGACGTTGGGTGCCCCTGAAATCAGTTCTGCGGTCTACAAATCTTGCGGCCGCTTCAGTCTCGGTAATTTCACCTGGCCGATCCAGGGGGCCGATCATATCGCTTGACACCGAAGGAGCCTTTATTCCGAGAAACGTTTTCTTTCAATCGAGGACTCGACTGAAAACATTTTTTTCCCTATGACTTCTGAAGTCTCTGAAGTTACTTCCATTCTGTATTTTCGCTATCATGGATGTAACCGAACAAAGTTGTATTTTGAATGTCGTATTCATGTTTCGGAAGCGTTTTACGTTTATTGAGATAATCAAAAAAAGCATAGCCTCACGTATTTTACTTTGGTCCTGCTCAAAAAGTCATTAATATCCGCGTTAAGTAAAGCTATGAACATAAGGATAATATGTCATAATTATTGATAACCTGATTATGGTAAATTCTGGCTTCAACGAATCCTGCATTTGACTGATACAAGCTTCAGATAAAGTCCCTTCCTCAAGACTTTTACAAGTTTCGGAAGAAATTAAATAGCATAACGTATTGGTAAAAGGGGGCTTTTTAGAGTACAAGCATCTACTGATTTACAGTGATTTATTGACTATTCACTTGTCGCTCTTCTTCTTGAGAACTGAGTTCTAAACTGATTGAACAGTTGCTGTTTTTGAGGCGACCGAAAAACTGAGGTTAATCCAACTTCATGTAACAAGTTTCATCTGTTCAGATAAATGGAATCGTGAGTAAATCGTGAGTATTCAATGGAAGTTATTAGACCTTTCAAGACATTATTTGCAAAATAATTCAAGAACTAACCATTGAACCTAAATCAAATGCGTTATGCACATGTATAATATGTACAATCGTTGCCAATAAAATTTGGTGGCCGTTAACCACCATTTCTATTTATACACTTGATTCAAGGGCGTTGTAAACATTTTGATATTTCATAAAAAATTCACTGACCGTGAATTAGCTTTTTTCACCATGTTTTACTGAGAACACGTTAAAGTGTTCTTTTTTTTCTAACAGTTCAGTCAGGCGATAAATTCAGACGAGATGACACTTTGCTGACCACTCTGCGAAGTATTGAGCGTATGCTAAAATTTGGTAAGCAAAGATTATATTTCGACTCCAGTTGGTTAGAGTTTTCTTATTTTGTTAAGGGTTTGAAGGGTAAAATAGCCAAGCATATTAACAAACGAGTAACAGAACCACTCCTTTGACTAACTAGCTCTAGCCAAAAAACCAAGACCCACTATGGTGGGCTGACTGTCTGATCGTGTACAAAACATAAGAGAAACCTTAGGGATAGCTCCAACAATATTCATAGAAATAACAATTTTGTTTTTCATGGAGAAGGTCCTTGTCCTAGTGGCTGGACGTATTTTAAAGGCTACCGTTACTTGGTGAGCAGCTCCATCAAGACTTGGCACCAGGCCCAAGCCTACTGCAAAGAACTGGGAGGAGATCTGGTGAAGATCAACAGTGAAGAAGAAAACGAGTTTGTATTAAAGCTGGTTAACAAGCGCGCTCCGTCATTGCGTCAGGTTTGGCTGGCACTGGCGTGGAACCCGCAAAGAAAAGCGTTTGTCTGTGCTGACAACTCAATTCCGACATTCACGAAACGGTTTCCAGGTGAGCCGAATGGAAATGCTTGTGAACCATGCAGCAACTTTTGGACCAGGAACACGTACCCTGGAATAAACGGATACTGGAATGACCTATCCTGTTCGAATCAAAATGTCCCTTGTGGTATTGTCTGCAAGAGGCTGCCTTAGGCTTGACCGGCATCAAAGCCGAAAGTAGAGAGATTCAACTAATGTAACTTAGTGTATAGACCTAACCAAAACGCATCACAGCTAAGAATCAAGACGGTACACACAAATGAAGTGCGAAGATGTAATGTCAGCTTGAAAATAAAACAACAATGCTTCCTATTTGTTTTTTATTTTCTTTCGCTGCTATGTATATATGCAAGGAATGGGGCGTAAGGGTTTGCGGTATTGCGGTATTGGGTTACTTTTGGTGCGGTGTTGCGGTAATTTTTCTCTCAAAGTACGTTATTGCGGTTTTCAGAGTCCAAGCGGTGTGCGGTGAGTTTAAGTTTTATGTCGCGGTAGTCGGTAAAAAAAGTCGTTGTGTCGCGGTGATCTGCTTCTTTTTCATGACAAAAGGATACAAATCCTAAGGTCTCCCTAGCTAGCCTGCGTGACCTGCGTATCTTCCTATAGTTTTACAGTCGGGGATCGTTTTTTTGCGCAAACAGTCCAGACAAATCGTATGGCTTGTAATTTCAGTTAATACTTGATATGATTAACGACATTAACTTTTTTATCCAATGATACGTAAACATTTCGCCTTATTTATGACCTCATGGACCTTGTGGGAATACTCAGCTTGGTTAACGGTAATAAATCCGTGTTCACATACACCAATATAAATAACCCGCTTAAAATATCTTCATGTAACATGTAACTATGTGTCACTCAACATAACTACACATTACTTCCCATCACGACACATGACTACACGTCATTATCCATCACTACACGTGACTACATATCACTCTTCATTACACTCCATCACTACACATCACTGTCCATCACTATCAATCACTATCCATCACTACACATCACTGTCCATCACTATCCACCACTACACATCACTGTCCATCACTATCCATCACTATCCATCACTACACATCACTGTCCACCACTATCCATTACTACACATCACTTTCCATCACTATCCATCACCACACATCACTATCCATCACTGTCCATCACTACACATCACTGTCCATCACTACACATCACTGCTCATCACTACCGGTCACTATCCATCACTCCCCATCACTACACATCACTAGCCATTACTACACATCAGTATCCATCACTATTCTTTTTACCTTGAGGATGGCTAAAGCTTTGTAGATGACCGTTCCTTTCATGTACATTGAAAACTAGTTTATTTTTTAAATAAATCACTAGAGCAGCGAGTTAAGAACATGCTTTGATGCCGCACAAGCTCTTCTAGGGAGTAAACTTACCAACCGAGAACAGACCCAAATCTGTTATAGTTTTTTTTCGTCCCGCCAGTTTCTGAAGTACAGTTTGAAGGCGCCGCTATAAAGGAAAGCGATATGAATGCAAACGATTAACTGCTCTGATTGCTCAAAGGTATTTGCACTTTCTTTGATTGGTTATCCTTCCACCTGTGATAAAAAGCTTTATGCCATTCCTATTGACTGTATAAGCTCTTCTCACATTTGAAAAAAAAAGCGTATAAATTTCTACAAATAACCTTTACAAAATAAAATTCTCGTGTTACGTGTATTAAATACTTTATATTGACTATAATAATTATATGAAGTGGAAGGAACAAGAACTCATTTTTATATTGATGATCTTGCTGCCATTGCCGTCGTCGAGAAACAAGCCCCAAGGGCCTTTCGCTGTTCCAATATACCCGGGTCTCTTGACCTTTTCTTTCTGATTTTTTTTCATGTTCTCTTTTTCTCTGTAAATTATCTTCTTGTACTTGCTCGGATTCTATACTGAAAAGTTTGAGGACGAAGTAATTCAGGATGGGTGTTCTTTTTTGTTTCTGTTTAGTACCGGGGAGTTTAAGCAACAACGACGGCGAAGGCTTTAAAAACGTCACTAAAAATGTTAATTTGCGCCGACTCAAACTTGATCACGCTTATTCCATCTCGTTTAATTCGTCCTCGACAAAACATGATATTAGGCAGTTTCACCTTGTAGTCAGCGTGATGCACGTGAATGCCTAATTTCACGTTATGGAGGACGAGGAGACTTGAAATCTGGGTGATAATTTTCTAATAATTAAATTACTTTGGGGTCAAAAACATTTTAAAACATTTCAAAACCGCAAATGATCGCTCTTTTTAAACATTTCCAGAAAACAGAAACTCCAACAGTATCGTAAATGTTTTAAAACATTAGTTCTTCCCCCCTTTTTAGATTAAAAAAATAGTATTTCATAAAAACTTTCCGTTCTTTTCTTTATGCAGAGTTCAATTAAATCTTAATAAAGCCGTTCCGCCTTTTAACTTCAAATTGTATTTTATTTTACGGCCGGCTTTCAACAAGCTTCGTTATCGGATGTCTGATCACAATTACATGTATGCCTTAAAATTTGCATGGGAGAGAAGTCTTTTAGAAAAACTGAGTGTTTTATCGTTCCCGGGTCCACAATCGATTTCAAAGCTCAAATCCAAGCACCCGGAAAAACCGCCACTTGAATAGCTCTTGTCATAAACTATATCTTTACATCAATTACAACGAAATGTACATTACATCGCACCGGTCAGTACAACAAGCGATTTTACTTTGTGTCTCCTAATCTTCAAAATCTCCTGCACGGCGTTCCTGAGACGGCGATCCTCTGAAGAAGTAAACGAGTGGATTAGCTACCGAATTTTAATGTCCAAACATATGTCTGCTAGACTCATTGCCAAACGTTGCGAAAGACTGGATAAAGTCCTTGTATCATACCACCAACAATAATTGGGAAAAGGGAAAGAAACAGGGCAACCGTTAATAGCAGTCGACTTAGCTACTTTTTATTCGAGTTTTTCTTTCAGTAACCCATTGACTAGGCAAATTTGATGGCGTTTGCAAACTCATGCTAACATGGCTAAGGTACATCAAGACAGAAGGAGACCCAGGGCAAGGACTAACAAAATTGAAAGAACAATGAGGAAAATCTCCAGAGAATCTCCCCCATTATAATCGAAAAGTACTTAAGAGTGTTGAAGAGACAGTTACTATTGCTACAAGCTATTATTGCCAGCTTTTTCATAAGGCTTTTAGTCACCATCACTCTGTAGTCAATCCATCTTCCAATGGCCACGTGCACCTATCTTTCCCATGCCATCATTGTCAGATGGAAAATCGAACAAATCGTCTAGCCGTGACCCATATCGCAACAAAGTCCAGCACGCAAATGTAATGGTCGCTCAGTATTTGATAAGAAACTAACAGTCCACAGCAGATAACGGTACACATAAACTTCCTACTAGAAGATCTGTAACGGCCATAGTTGATAACAAGATATTGGAATTACTGCTATGATTACAAGTGTTCAAAAGAACTGCAGTTGGAGAGATTATAGATGTGACTGCGGCAAAAACCTAAGGAAAATAGCGTCTTGTATAAAATCCCAAACTAACTGTGGTTCTTGTGGACAATAAAACATCGACCTGGTTGTGTTTAAAAAGAAGGAAGCGGTTCAGTTCTGCTTCGTGTTGGTCCATGATGAATCCTTTATTAAAAACTTTGAGTTAACTCATCTTTTTTTTAGTTATGAGGCCTTGCTTATATAGTTTACACAGCGCGTGTTATATTCTTAAAATCTTATAAGAAGTGTGAATGGCGCTAGGATTACATTAAGTGTCTATATGAAAAAGACGCAGGTTGTGGCTTGGTGATTTTTCTCATATATAAGCGGCCCAAAAAAGAAAATACAAAATTTCACTTTATCGAATACTGAAACGATTTCACATTGTCTGAAACTTCGGCGATGATTTACTGCTAATCAAATGACTTTAAGGTCAAAACATTAAGGCCCGTTTTAAACGTGGTGCTACTGCCGTGCCGAACTAAATTCGACTTTAGCACGTCAGTAACGCGACATTTGAAACCAAGTCGTGCTACTGCCGTGTAGCACGGCAAGGCTTGCCGTGCTACACGGCAGTAGCTCGACTTGGTTTCAAATGTCGCACTACGGCCGTGCCGAACTCAATTAATAAATTATAAATACATTAAAATACATTTAAAAGTTTGCTAAACCGTTTCTTTGTTTTAGTGCTGGTTTTCGGCAACAGCCGGTCTATATTCGATTGAATTAAATTCGACGTGTGAAACCAAGTCGTGCTATGGCTAGTGTCGTGCTGCAGTCGAGCGTGACAGTCGAGCCCGCTTAGCACGGTAGTAGCGCGACGTTTGAAACAGGCCTAACATATCAAAACCGCAAATGATCTTTTTTTTCGCTCATAAATAGTTTACCTTTTGAAATATTTTCAAACAGTTACAGAAAATAGAAATTCAATCATTAGCGTAAATGTGAAATTGATTATTCGTGTTTTCCATTCGTTTCCTTAACTTTTCCTTGTATATTTTCTTTATAGAGAGTTAAATGACCTTACTTCCTAATAAAGCCATTTCGCATTTTATCTTCGAATTGTATTTTATTTTACAGTCGGCTTTCTACAAGCTTCATTTTCAAATGTTTGATCACAATTATGTCTTAAATTTTTGCATTAGAGAGATGTTTTTAAATCTTTCCCATGAACACATTCCTATCGCAACAAATTCACGACAAACACAAAAAATAGAGATGACCATTATTTACCGAGGGTCTCAATGGGGTGGTGGCATTTACGGTTATCGGCTAAAATTTTGGCTCTTTTACGGCTGTCGGCTAATTTTTTTCAGTTACGGTTAACAAAAAAGTTAAAAATTAACTTCTTTTGTTTCAAAAAGTTAGATATTTATTAACCTGTATTTTTTGTATCTTATAAAGCAAAATAAAGGTCTTGGGATCATCTCGGGATATGAAATAAGCTATTCTTTTGAAAAATTTTAACTTTTGATAGATCATACTTTTTATGGAGTATTCCACTTCTAATATTATTTTACACATAAAAATGTCAATAGTCAATTTAAAAATAATCTTTGTGAAAAAGCAAAGAATACACGCGAACGCCTAACTCAAGGCCGGGGCGCGACATTCATTACAACAGAAATGCCGTTTTCACACTAAAGACGGATTATTCGTGTGAGACGGGTTATCCGTTTGATGATTCGCGTCAGATAGGCAATACGTCTTAATTTGAAAATGGAATAGTTTTAATTTTGCATGAACAATCCGCCTGACTTTATCCTTCAACTTCGACGGACAGTTTGAATACGGGATTATCCGTTCCAGATAGCCTGTGTACAACCGCCCCTTCCCCTCAGAAAAAAAATCGGAGAGGGGGTGTCTGTCGGGAAGGGGGCGACTGTACACAGGCTAGTCTCAGACGGATAATCCGTTTCCAGCTCTAGTGTGAAAACGGCCAATAACAAAATTCCTGTGTCCAGTGTTTTTAATGGTAGCGAAGGACTGTACAGAACCACTGTCAGCCGTTTTGCCTTGTCCGTAGGCCTTATTATTTCGCCCGGCTAATGCGTTTCGGGTCACGTGGTCCGAGCGAGTTCGCCACCGAAATGTCTTGACCGAAATTGCGTGGGAAGACGCCGTGCAGGGACTAGGCATGGCAATGTCTACCGTAGCTTCAGAGAAAAACAGGGAAATGTTGTTTATCGGCAACTTGTTTTACAAACAGTGAGATCTCTTCGTGTTGTTTCATTAGTGTTTCGAGGGCACGACCTCCTGAAAATCGCAAATATTAATCCCTAGCAAGAAGCCACACTTTCGCTATGGAAAAAAAAATTAGTTCCCTGAGAGAACGGCGGAAATGGAAATGGGTCTTGGTCTTTACCTAAAAGGCGCTTTACCTAACGCGCGTACGGAGCCACACTAGCGGCGAAATAAAAAACGCAACCATAAGTGAGTTTAGTACCTTCCTTAAAAGTAGCAAATCTAGGGAACAATTTCTTTTACGGTCAACTTTTTTTTACCCTATTTACGACTAACGGTTAAAATTTTTCAATTTTTACGGCTATCGACTAAATTTTTGGCCGTTTTACGCCTATCGGTTAACCCCATTGAGACCTTCTTTACTGCTTCTGCCGTTCGCTGTTTTTTGGCGTCAAGGGAAGTGCATGCTTTTACGTTTTCAATGAAATGAAAAGTATGTAAAAACTAACCAAATGTCTAGGCTTTCGGGTTGACAATCGACACCAAATAAAACACGTAAATGGAAATGAAGCACATACTCAAACGACACCTCGAGACACCAATATTCCTAGTACGCCACTATCAGGGGCACCCAACGACAATTTTCGGGAAAATATCTGTTCGGAAGACGATTTGAGATCTAGAATTTTCGGAACATTTGTTGCAAAAATTTCTTGCTTGCCGGCCTCTCCTAGGATTTTCGAACATCTACAAAATGGTATAATTGCCCATTTTTAACTGCTTTTTACCCTAAAAAGGTCACCTATAATTTTCGGGGGCCTTTTTTCTGGCTGAAATTTTCGAAAAGGTAAGTTGTGATTCCTATAATTTTCGGATCACTAGACTTTCAGCTTAGCCTGAAATTCATCCGATTGCTTCGAGTCGTTTTCTCCTCTCAACAATTGCAACGTCTGAATCGACCGGCCGTTAATGCCGTCCAGTGACGTCACTCACTACCCGAAAACCGGGTAGTGATTTTGATTGGTTGATTGTTTAAACATTCGCATAATTATGTATAATTATGAAAAATTTTAGCGGGATTGTCGCTTAATATTCAGCGGATCGCATCCCTGGCATTCTTTCGTTTAGTTCGAACATTTCGATAAGCTTAATCTTTATCTTAAACAGCAAAATTGCCCTTGTCTTCGAAACAGAAATGCTAAATTGAACTGCGAATGAAGAATCATTGCGGAGAGTCGGTAGGTTTTTCACTTAGAGCTGTTGGAGCCGCTTTGTGGTTTCGGCGGCCGGTGATTTTGTTTACGCGTCAAGTGTAATGATTCTGTTAGCTTTTCTTTCCAGTCTCCTTGTTTTTTTTTTATTCGGTAACGACCAAATAGCTTCTTTTCAATTTTAATTGTGTTTTTGAACTAAGTGTTCCGTGTGTGTGTGTTTATTTCATTGCGTAATTGCGACCGAGTTTGATTCTAGAATTTAGTACAACCGGTTCAGAGTTGTACTGCATGCAGTTGATAGTTTGAAAGTTAAACATGAATTACGATCGAAAAAAATAAAGCAGTTATGTATCATGCAGATATTTCCAAACGATATTTCTCGGTTTGCCACTTAAAAATCGTGTTTTACTTTTTGCATGAATTAAAGCAAAGGTCAAGGAGCAGTGACGTCACTGGACGGCATTAACGGCCGGTCGATTCAGACGTTATTGAGGGAGTAATAACGACTCGAAGTAATCGGATGAAATTCAGGCTACTTTCAGCTAGGAAATCCGAACAGATGAAATATTTTTAGGGAATAAAAATATGCCTATATGTACCTTTTAAATACTAAGATACGTTTAACGATGCTATGTTTAAGTGGTTTTGAACTATATTCGCCGTTGGGTGCCACTGACTATGCATTGTCTAGAAAGTCTCTGCAAGATTCTTTATTATAATCACAATTGCTTTTATATAACTAAGAGATTCACCAATTAACTGTTGTATGAAAGAAAATATGTCCGACTTTCTTGTAATACAGACCTAGTTGTTCTAGGGGCTGTATCAGTTAAATCGGTCAACAACGAAATTCACGGCTTACTGTAGTTTGCGAAACGAAATGAAACGAAACGAAATGGAACGAAACGAAATGAAAATCTGTAGTTTGCGAAATGAAGTATTGAAAATCAAAAATTTACAATCTTAATTTTCAATTTTTGTTTCTAAGAAAAGTAAAAAAGAAACTCATTTTTCAATATTTTTAAAATCAAAAATTAAAAATTAAAAATGGCCAGTTAGTGGTTTTAACTTTTTGTTTTCAATTTCCTCTTCCCTAGATTCACGCTTATTAAAAAGTTCAAACTAAACAAAGCTATTCAAGTGTAATGAAAATGCGCGAAACAGTATTAAAGCTGATGAAATCCAAAATGAAAATGGTTTTTTGATTTTTGTATTTATGAAAAACAAAAATTGCCAACAGGCCAAAAATATCTGTGACGGGAGGGGAGGGTAAAACCGGAAGTGGCGCGACTGCAAACAAGATGGCGGTCGCCTTGTAGTGAAGGAGTGTTCCGTGTCTCCGTCGAGCTTTCTCTAGCGGAAAAGTTACGCCAACAGCAATCCAAAGCCTGCCTGTATCATGGCTGATACGTTTTCCAAGAAATGAACTGAATGTTTTTTTCACTGGTAGTTAAGCTTTTGTTGTAACCTTGCAGCATTACGTTACGCAGGGTAGAGCGTTTCAGATCAGAAAGCATAAACGAGGGACTGTGGACTGCGGACGGCGGACGGAGGACTGCGGACTAGGTATCTATAAAAGATGGACCAGGAATAAAATGCGAACTACGTGCTATGCTTTAGTCGAATAATATTGAGAAGAACCAATGACGGCGTGGGGATATATTTGCGCGAGTGTGTTTTTGCCCATAATAAGGTGCCAGCTGTGTTTAATTAGAATCTTTTTGAGATTCGGAGTTGCAGGATAGAAAGTCGTTACAAACGGCAAAATCTTTTGTTTTGGGTTTATTTTATAAAGCCGCATTGCGCGATTCGAAGAGGAATTCGGCTAGGATTGTTTCCACAAGGTCGTGAGGGTAGCCTCGTTCTGTAAGGAGAGTTAAAAACTCTTTCTGCTTTAACTCTAGTTATCGGGAATTATTTCTTAACCCACTTCGTTCTGAGTAAGTGCAAGGCTATTGACAGTTCGTCAGTGTAAAGTTTATTGTCGTGTGGAAAGAGTTCGCGAAATCAATAATGTCGGTCTCAGGAAGAGTCCAGACTGAGAATATGTCATCAATAAATTTCTTCCAGCCGGAGAAATGGCTGTAAGGGCTCGCATGTAGTATAGTTGTTTCTCAACGCGAGCCATGAAAATGACCGAGAAAGCAACCGCCATTTTGGTGGCCACTGTAATGCCGTGAGTCTGCACGTAGTGTTTGTCGGTGAATTTGTTGGTGAAGTTTTCTGTTAAGATCACCCGCATTAAGTCTTCGAAATATGAAGTAAGGATAGGTAACTTTGACTGATAATGTTATTCGTAATGGTGACAAACGATGTCGATTCCCTCTTCCTGGGAAATGCTAGTGCAGAGAGAACACACGTTTATATTAACGTAGCTTAAATTGCTTCATCTGGAAGAGGCGTGTTTTCAATGATATCACTTTGGTGTGCAGTGTCCTCGATGTAAGACTCTTGTTTTTGCACGATTGGCCTGGTAAAGGCGAGTACACAGAGCTAGAAATGCGTTCTTTGGAACCACCGCTACCAGAGACGATTCAGTGGTCTGCCGGCAGGAATAGTTTTAAGTATTTTGGTCAGCGTGTAAAACGCTGGTATTCTTCGGGTGATTTTGGCCAAAACTGAGCCATGGGTAAGTCATTTGAGTAATATGCCCGTTTGTGAACAGAGCGTTTATAGCGGCTAGCTGATATCACTTTTCTGGCTGTTTCGGATACAATCGGTTCATCTTAGGCCCAGTTCAGACGTCGTGCTTCTGCCGTGCCGAACTAAATTCAGGAATTAAGTTCGACAAAAGCACGGCAGAAGCACGGCGTCTGAATCAAACTTTTGAATTAAGGGTGTGTTCCTTTCGGCGAATCCAAAAACGGATTTTTGATCCTAGATTTGCCAGATTTCGCGGTCGAAAGGAACGTGAAATCCGAAATTGGATTTGTAACCTTGGTAACCTTTCGCCAAAGCGTGCAATATGCACGACAGCCTCTCAAAAAATGACGTGTTTTCCACTGTTTGACAAATTATGCGATTATACCGTGCAGAATTTAGTGGTCGGCAGTTCGAATAGCGACGATGGAACATATAAAACAGACAAAGAAAGAATGTCGGCCAGTTTGATCCAGTTCCATAGCTCGGATTTTTTTATGTAAGATGATCGAGTGCCTGTCGCGTCTACAAGCGAGTTTGTAGTTAGATAGCACTTCATTTGTTACTTACTTATTTCTGATTTCAAGCAATCTTTAGAGACAAATGGTTAGTATATGGATATTTTAATGTACCAGGAACAATTTTCAATGTTTTCAGATGTTTTGCGGCAAATGACAGGAACGAAGAAACTCTACCGCTGGATCATCTGACTAATTTCGGATCCACTGTGAATGGAACAGCGTAGATCACTAATCCGTTAATCTGGATTTGGATTCCTCGGATTTCAAATCCAATGAATCCTTTTTCAGAAAGGATTCACCAGATCAAAAATCCGGACTTGGATTTGCCGAAAGGAACGCGAAATCCGTTCTTAGATCTAAAATCCGTTTTTGGATTCACCGAAAGGAACACACCCTAAGTTCGGCAAGCAATTAAGTTCGACAAGCGCTGCCGTGCTACACGGCTCTGGCACGGCAGCGATTCAAACGTCGTGCTTCTGCCGCGCTAAACAAAATTCATAAGTTATATTAATGTATTTTGGCGAGATTGCGTTCCCACGGGGACTTGGGAGAAGAATTGTTACGAAGCATCAGTAAATCCTGAATTTGGTTCGACTCTGGCACGACGTCTGAATCAAAGTTGTTTTCCTGCCGTGCTACAGTCGAACCAAATTACAATTAAGTTCGGCACGGCAGAAGCACGACGTCTGAACTGGGCCTTAGATTTCCAAAACCGGTCCTGCTATTAAAGTTTATTTAAACAGTTCTTATCAAGACTCTGCGGCTACCATTGATTGTTAAAGCCTAAATCCCTTCACTTTAACAACAACAAAGGAGTTATACACGGTTAGGGTCGAGTGACAAAAGTTAGTTTACGCAACAGGACGACAGAAAGAAGAGGACGGCAAAAGGCTTGTGTGTGACAAACGTGACAGGGCTATTAACTGCGTGTTTTGTCGTGATTTTCACTTCACATTAACGTTTTTTGATCTTTTACAGAAAGACCTGTTCAAAGGAAGGTGATGTTTGGCGGAAAGTGTTTTCAAACAAAATTATTGTCACTCTTATCACACAAGGTTTGACGTCTTCTTTCCTCTCCCGTCCTGTTGCGTAAGTTCACTAATTATCATTACATTAAGACATAGTACGTAGTTCGCTTTTTATACCTGGTCCGTGTTTTACACGTACCCAGTCCGCTGTCCGTGGTCCGTAGTCCGCACTCCGCGGTCTATTTTTCTTAATACTGCCCGACTGAAACGCTTTACCCTGCGTGGAGTAATGCTGCAAGGTTACAACAAAAGCATACTTATCAGCGAAAAAATATTCAGCTTAATTCTTTAAAAACGTGTCGGCCATGATACAGGCAGGCTTTGGCTTCCTGTTGGCGTAACATTTCCGCCAGAGACAGCTTGACGAAGACACGCAACACGGAACACTCCTTCACTGCAAGACGACCGCCATCTTGTTTCCTGTCGCGCCACTTCCGCTTTTACCCTCCCCTCCCGTCACAGATATTTTTAGTCGATTGTCAATTTTTTGTTTTTCATAAATAGGAAAATCAAACAATGATTTTCATTTTGGATCTCACCAGCATTAATTCTGTTTCCCCGCAGTTTCTTTACACATGAAATTGCTCTGTCAAGTTTGAATTTTTAATAAGCTTGAATTTAAGGAATAGGAAATTGAAAATACAATTTTAACTTCGGTACCAGGCAAAAATCTCAAAATTGAAGATTATCGTTTAGTTTTCCTTTTCCTTAAAAACAAGAAATAAAAACCACCAACTGACCATTTTCAATTTTTAATTTTTGATTTTCGAAACATTGAAAATTGTTTTTCAATTTTATGTTTCTTAGAAACAAAAATTGACAACTGAGATTGTAAATTTGTGATTTTCAATTCTTGAGGCATCAAACATTGAAAATCACGATTGTGAATTTTTGATTTTCAATTTGGAATAAAAATCAAATGGACGAAAACCACACGGACCAGTTTATCCATTATCCTATAGTTAATAATTATTACTACCTATACTACGACAGAAAAATTTGGTTTCAGGGGGAAGTCGTTGGACTTTTCAATGTATCAGGTTTAGTACTGAAAGTAAATACTTACGACCAGTAATTTTAGTGAAACGTTGTCTGAATTGTCGGAATTTACTTGTCACGCGTGACGGAGCATTGCTGTAACATGCAAAATGATTTTATGTCAAGTTACTCAAAGTTGTGGAGTAGAATATGTATATGTGATAGGAGAAAATAATTACCAAGTCATCACCAAGAAATTTAAGGTTTTTGGCAAAAGCTATTAAGTCCTACCATGTTTAGTTTGTAAAATGCCACAGTAATGTGTCCACTATCACTGAAGGTTACTGAAGATTTTAACTATCATTGAAAGTTATGCACATAATCCACTTTTATGAATTTCGCGGTTTCGTAATCATGTTTACATCTCCCACCATAACTTGTTTTAGCTTGTTTAGGGGGGTGTTATGATCATATCCAATTCTATGAGTCATTTCGATTTTTTTGAGGACTGTTAGAGAGAATCTTCGCGTACAGATATCCAGAAGGACTGAAACTGCGGATATGAAACTGGTTTTCACTCTTCTACCGATTTTTATCGCGCTCGGCACAGGTACATTGTAAATCATTTCTGCGGTCTACATATCTTGCCTTTATTCCGAGAAACCGTCGGTTTCAACTGAGCACTAGACTGAAAACACCCTTTTTCCTATGACATCTGGAGTTATTTCCATTTTGTTTTTTCGCTATCATGAACGTAACCGAACAAAGTGGTATTCATGAATGTCGTATTCATGTTTCGGAAGCGTTTTTATTTCTGCGTTTATACGTTTATGTTTATTGAAATAATAAGTAAAGCTATGAACATAAGGATAATATGACACAATAATGATAAGGCATAATTATGGTAAATTCCGGCTTAAACGAATTCTGTATTTACTGTTACAAGCTTCAGTTTAAAAGTCCCTTCTCCAGGACTTTTACAAGTTTCCTGAAGAAATAACATAACGTATTATTAAAAGGAGGCTTTTTAGAGCACGAGCATCTATTTACAGTGATTTATTGATAATTCATTTGTCACTCTTCTTCTTGAGACCTGGGCGCTAAATTGAATTAACAGTTGCTGTTTATTGAGGCGACCGAAAAACTGAGGTTAATCCAACTTCATGTAAAAAGTTTCATCTGTTCAGATAAATGGAATCGTGAGTAAATCGTGAGTATTCAATGGAAGTTATTAGACCTTTCAAGACATTATTTGCAAAATAAATCACGAACAAACTATTGAACCTAAATCAAATGCCTTATGCACATGTATATGTATAATCACTGCCAATAAATTTGGTGGCCGTTAACCACCATTTCTATTTATACACTTGATTCAAGGGCGTTGTAAACATTTTGATATTTAATAAAAAATTCACTGGCGTGAATTAGCTTTTTTCACCATGTTTTACTGAGAAACATTAAACTGTTCTTGTTTTCTACCAGTTCAGTCAGGCGATAAGTTCAGACGAGATGTCACTAATGCGGCATTTTTGACCACTCTACGACGTATTGAGCGTATACTAAAATTTGGTAAGTAACTTCAAGCAAAGATTATATTTCGACTCCAGTTAGTTAGAGTTTTCTTATTTTGTTAAGGGTTTGAAGGGTAAAATAGCCAAGCATGAACAAAGGGGTAACAGAACCACTCCTTCGACTAACTAGCTCTAGCCAAAAAACCAACACCCACTATGGTGAGCTGACTTTCTGATCCTGTACAAAACATAAGAGAAACCTTAGGGATAGCTCCAACAATATTCATAGAAATAATGATTTTGTTTTTTCATGGAGAGGGTCCTTGTCCCAGTGGCTGGACGTATTTTAAAGGCTACTGTTACTTGGTGAGCAGCTCCATCAAGACTTGGCACCAGGCCCAAGCCTACTGCAAAGAGCTGGGAGGAGATTTGGTGAAGATCAACAGTGAAGAAGAAAACGAGTTTGTACTGAAGCTGGTTAACAAACGCGCTCCGTCATTGGGTCAGGTTTGGCTGGCACTGGAGTGGAACCCGCAAAGAAGAGCGTTTATCTGGGCTGACAACTCAATTCCGACATTCAAGAAATGGTTTCCAGGTGAGCCGAATGGAAATGCTCGCGAACCATGCAGCAACTTTTGGACCAGGAACACGTACCCTGGAGTAAACAGATACTGGAATGACCTATCCTGTTCGAATCAAAATGTCCCTTGTGGTATTGTCTGCAAGAGGCTGCCTTAGGCTTGACCGGCATCAAAGCCGAAAGTAGAGAGATTCAACTAACGTAACTTAGTGTATAGACGTAACAAAAACGCATCACAGCTAAGAATCAAGACGTCACACACAAATGAAGTGCGTAGATGTAATGTCAGCTTGAAAATAAAACAACAATGCTTCCTATTTGTTTTTTATTTTCTTTCGCTGCTATGCATATATGTAAGGAATGGGGCGTAAGGGTTTGCGGTATTGGGTTATTTTTGGTGCGGTGTTGCTGTAATTTTTATCTGAAAGTACGTTATTGCGGTTTTCAGAGTCCAAGCACCACCTGTGATAAAAAGCTTTATGCCATTCTTATTGACTGTATAAGCTCTTCTCACATTTGAAAATAAAGCGTATAAATTTCTACAAATAACCTCGTGTTACGTGTATTAAGTACTTTATATTGACTATAATGATTATATGAAGTGGAAGGAACAAGGACTCATTTTTATATTGATGTTCTTGCTGCCATTGCCGTCGTCGAGAAACAAGCCCCAAGGGCCTTGCGTTGTTCCAATATACCCTCGCTAATTCGAACCTCGCGCTGACTCGAACCAAGGTCGATACATTCACTATAATTTCACCCTCGCTAACTCGAACCCTCGATAACTTGAACTCCCGCTAACTCGAACCAATTTTCGTTTCCCCTCCCCTATATAATTTTACCCTCGATAACTCGAACCATGTTTTGAGCCCTTAAAAAGTCCGGAAAAAACCGTCTACGGCTGGCGTCCGTAACACTGAATTTTGGATTTCCTATTGAAGTGTTGTGGGAGTATAGTTTACTAGTGGAGGCTGATGTTGTTTGTCACAGGCTAACGTGAAGCAACTTTACTTCTCAAAACAGTAAAACGCATGCTCTGTTTAGGCTTCGTTCTGTTACATTACGTTCTGATTTATAATCTAGGATTATCTCTTAATTTTAACTTGACATTTCTTAAATGTGATTAAAATGTTTACTGTGCAGTAAAAACTGTTTTTAACCTCACTCTCGGCTATTTTCTTCGAGCTCCCGATAACTCGAACTCGATTTCCCTTGAAGGTTCGAGTTATCGGGACTGTATATGTTTTATGGTCATGTTTTCAAAAGATAATTTTCACCCCCCCCTCCCCTCCAGAAAACTACTGGTCCGTCCCTTATTACCGTCAATGCAATTGACACTCAATAGATGATCATTACTGCATCATTGTAACTGTATTCACTTTATAACGGCCAACTCTACTATGGGGTACGATCCCCGCCAAAATTCATGTTTTAAATTTTAAGTTGTTGATTTAAATTTTCAACTTCAACACTTCAATTTTACGGCAGAATTCAAAAATTTACACTTAGAATTTACATTACTGGAAAACGTTTTTACAATTGTCTTTTAGCTTTTGAACTCGCTTGGTCAAATTACACAGTCAAACCATACAATTTTTAACTCGACGAACAAATTTTTATACACTGCTACTTTTTATTAGTTTTGATGCCTTAGCCAGTAGATACGAACTCTGCATTAGATTCTCACTCGGCGCATTCAAAACATGAATTTTGGCGGGGATCGTAAGCCACACGCTACGACTAGTCATCGAAATCTTTTTTAAGTTTAATTATCTCATTATCGAGGACATTGAAAGTCTTTCTTTCCAGTGGAAGAGCAATGTCAATCTCCATTAAACTATCACTAACTTGTATATACATTGATTGAACATCATCCACACCACATTGCTTTCCTGAATTTTTGAAATAAGGAATCACAGCACATAATAAGCAGACTTCTAAAAATTTAGAGCAGACGTAGAATCGGAGCTACGCGGAGGCTGCAAGTTTCTTTTTGATGTCTGGAGAATATGCCTTAGCTTTGGAAGTAAACTGCCCTTGTTTCCTTTACACAAGACTAATTCCTTGCACTTTCCTCCACCGCATTGTCCAGAACACTTGCACAACCTGCTGCAACCCCGATACTTTAGAAGGCATTGGCATCTTGCATGACTTTTGCATTTTCTCCTTTGGACATTATTTTTGCTTTTATTAGAGCCACAACGACAGCTGTTCGTCCTCCTTTGACAAGTCCCTAGAAACTAGTTAAAAATATATAAGTAAGAAGAGAAGGCAAAGGCAATGTGCAGTATGTAGGGAGGTATATAATTACACCAGTACCTTTAAGTGCACAATCGTCAATTTGAGCGCCGTGACCAAGTCTAGTTCTCTTTTAAATAAGTTGTTTATCTACAAGAATTTGGACGGTTTTTTTTGTAAATGATTTCTGCTTATTTTCGTGGTTCTTAAGATCCCTGTAACTAGTTCCTCTCTTTCAAATGGTCTCTGGGTAAGTACTCCATTTCATTTAACCTTCAGGCTATTCTCAATAAAATGTCATTTATGGACTGCAAACTGCCATTGAGAGCTATTGAGATGCTGCATTTGCCAAAATTAACAACCTACAAGTGTGTGATGTGCCATTACAATTACGTCCCGCAAATGAATTGGCCTGGGCTGAAGGTTTATAACGGCAGGCGTTAAGCACAAACATCATTGAAACATACTTCGTGTTCATTCGCAGAATAAAACAGTCTGTTCCATTAGTACATGTCAAACGGATAATTACGTTACCGTGTTTGCCTCTTACTCGCTTGTGACTTACCCGCGCTCCCCCCCCCGCCCCCGCCTTGACAGGGATCAAAGTTAGAAAAACAAAGCGCTTAGGGAGGAGGTGGTAAAATATCGGTTTGACACATTACTTTAGCTTTATAAGGTTTACATGCAGATAATGATTATAGCGAACCTGTAGAATTACTCAGTGGTTTCATTGAAAATAAAGTATCATAATGACCAGGGCCAGAGGACGTATATGCCAGCATGATTGGAACGGAACCACTAACAGTTCTAAGCGGGCAAACGCTTATGACTGGTGTGTGTGACTCAGAGGTACTAATACATAACGGCAAGTTCAGTACGTTGGACATTGCCATGGGCATCAGATCTTCAAGAGGGTCATGAAACAAACCCTCAGATCTATATTTTTTGGCCTCTAAATTGAAATCGACATCCTCTTCTATAAAGTTCATGTATTCTTCTGCATTTGGGCCTGTCCATTCTTCCACTATTAGTGCTCGAAGAACTCTCGCAAGTTCGGTGATTGCCATGTCGGCAGATAATCCCATACTATTTAGGTGGTTTACTATATCTGCATGTGGACTAGTTGCTGTCAGTAAATTTGACACATAGAAGGCAACTGATGAGAAGAAACAGTCACCGTCTCCTGGAACAGGGGCAATACTTAGACCCAACCCTTGAACATGTCCAGTCAAAGTTTCATTGATTTGAGCAGGGTCATGCTTTAACGAGTTCTCACTTGATCTAATAACGTCTTTCAGTTTCATTAACGAAACGTTCTTTAGTCCAATTGAGGATGGTAGTCGACTTTTCGATAAATATCTCGTTGCTCCAAGGCTCTTCAACCCTTCATAAACTTCATAAAAGTTTATGGCATCTAGAGCAATTTGCAAAGGAGTCTTGTGTGTCGAGCAATAGAGATGGTCTTCTGAAGAAGTTGAGTTTACAAAACTTTTTACTATGTCTTTAACATAATCAATGGTTGAAGGTGTTAGTCTTTGGGTTGATTCGTTTTTTCCACTTTTTAGGTGTAACATAGCTGTCGAGCCATACAAAATCGAAACATTTTTTGGCAATCCAAAGGTCTCAACGAAACGATCGCTTTCCTGTAATCTAACAAAGTAATGATGCCAGCAAACTCTGGTAGGCTAGGTCGAGTCCAATTCTGTTTGTATGCAAAACGGCATTCAGGTAACGATGGATCCTTTCGTTGTCAGAGGTTGAACACTGGACCGGAATGCCGCTTAGACATCCTCTCGATATGTGTTTTTATGTTTTGTAAAGCCTTCCTTCCTTCCTTCTGCGTTCAATATAATATTTCCATTCCATCTTTTAGTTGACCATTTCAATTCAAACCCTGCCAAGTTCTTTAGCATTTTCTCCTTATCAGCAGTGGGTTGGTTACGTCCGATGGGCGACGGAAAACTAGGCCATATTCTTTGGCAATACCACTGCCAATTCTAGCACCAACTGGAACAGTTTTCAAAAACCGTTGGACTGCATAAAAGAGATCCAGTCTGATGTCAACATCAGGAAAAATGGCTGTGAGGGAACTTTTCCATTTGCAGCAGTTGTCAATGACAACTCCCCGTGCCTGCAGTCTCTCCTTAAGCTGGATGAAGATATCTCTAACCTCTTCAAAAGATTCACCACGTGTAATTTTCCAGTGTAGGATATGTCCACCTTCCCCTATAACGATAAATACACATTTGAACAGTTTGATCCATTTNACTATGTCTTTAACATAATCAATGGTTGAAGGTGTTAGTCTTTGGGTTGATTCGTTTTTTCCACTTTTTAGGTGTAACATAGCTGTCGAGCCATACAAAATCGAAACATTTTTTGGCAATCCAAAGGTCTCAACGAAACGATCGCTTTCCTGTAATCTAACAAAGTAATGATGCCAGCAAACTCTGGTAGGCTAGGTCGAGTCTAATTCTGTTTGTATGCAAAACGGCATTCAGGTAACGATGGATCCTTTCGTTGTCAGAGGTTGAACACTGGACCGGAATGCCGCTTAGACATCCTCTCGATATGTGTTTTTACTGTAAAGCCTTCCTTCCTTCCTTCTGCGTTCAATATAATATTTCCATTCCATCTTTTAGTTGACCATTTCAATTCAAACCCTGCCAAGTTCTTTAGCATTTTCTCCTTATCAGCAGTGGGTTGGTTACGTTTTTCGCCCAAATCCGATGGGCGACGGAAAACTAGGCCATATTCTTTGGCAATACCACTGCCAATTCTAGCACCAACTGGAACAGTTTTCAAAAACCGTTGGACTGCATGAAAGAGATCCAGTCTGATGTCAACATCAGGAAAAATGGCTGTGAGGGAACTTTTCCATTTGCAGCAGTTGTCAATGACAACTCCCCGTGCCTGCAGTCTCTCCTTAAGATGGATGAAGATATCTCTAACCTCTTCAAAAGATTCACCACGTGTAATTTTCCAGTGTAGGATATGTCCACCTTCCCCTATAACGATAAATACACATTTGAACAGTTTGATCCATTTCCCATCACTTTCCTTTACAAAACCAATATTAGCAGCACTTTTAAATGTGTGGTCGCAGAATATCCAAACTGAGGTTCTAATGGCCATGTCGTCATGAAATAACTTGCCGAAAAGAGAAGTATATGAACAGAACACTTCCGTTATAGCTTTAACATGTGGAAAAGGGAAAGAAGATTGATCAAATTTGGGGAAATCGACTAAATTTGACTTTGCCACATGTTTACTGTCTTCGTAGTAACGAGATCGAAAATAGGACTGTTGGTACTGTTCGTGAATAATATCCTCAACTGAGAGAAAACTAACTCCATGGTCCACAAGAGAACAAATGTGACATATCAGTTCGGTGGAAAATCCAGCTCGATTGGTTAAAAGGAATGGGACGTGAACGGTTGAGGGAAGACTTGGCAGAATTTGAGGATTATGTGATGGCACTTTATGGTTGTTTCTACAAGTGTAAACACCCGACACAAGAACAATCATGGCACTAGTGTCGTGGATTATCCTTGGTGGATATAGCGCCTTAGTTGTCCCGTCTGTCCAAATCCCGCATCTAACTAAAAGGCTTGAGTGGCCATTCCTTTCGCAGAAAGGACAAGGAAGAGATCTAACAATTCCAGCGTATGACTTTAACACGTCCCACAACAAGATTGCACGTGATGTGTATTCTTCCACCGCGGGTGTCTGCCTAACATGCCTGACCGAACCGATCAATGGCAGCTTTAATCCTTAAAGTGGTAAACTTTGATATTTCAAAGCAATTGTTGAGCTTTAAAGAGACAAGTATAACGACAACCAGTAATATCTTTGAAGCATAAGCGAATGACCCCATATTTTTTCAAAGCAATTGTTGAGCTTTAAAGAGACAAGTACAGCGACAACCAGTAATAACTTTGAAGCATGAGCGAATTCCTTAATAATTATTTCAATATTAGCGTCTGACGGTTGCGCAACGAACTACGTGGGATTTAGTCAGTCGTCCCTCAATGCGTGTACATATTGTACAATGTGTGTAAATTTGTACCAACCGACTCCTAAATAGAACTTAAATTTCATTTTTTTTTGTTTGGGGGGACAGTCATGTGGAATGGCCTAGAAAATGCCCTTAAAGACGAGATAAATCTCAAGTCTGCCCTGTCTTTGCCTTGAACCAGGGATCTCCGGCCTTGAGGGAGTTGAGATAGAAAACTAGTTCCAGTCTCAATGTATAGACAGATATGATCTCTGTGGCACAAAAACTATTAAAACGATCAACTTACCTCAAACTGTGGTATCAACATAGAGCACAATCTGGTTTCAATGGTATAAGAGAGACCCAGTTGCTTTATCCTCTGGTATCGAGGAACAGCACGNTAGCGTCTGACGGTTGCGCAACGAACTACGTGGGATTTAGTCAGTCGTCCCTCAATGCGTGTACATATTGTACAATGTGTGTAAATTTGTACCAACCGACTCCTAAATAGAACTTAAATTTCATTTTTTTTTGTTTGGGGGGACAGTCATGTGGAATGGCCTAGAAAATGCCCTTAAAGACGAGATAAATCTCAAGTCTGCCCTGTCTTTGCCTTGAACCAGGGATCTCCGGCCTTGAGGGAGTTGAGATAGAAAACTAGTTCCAGTCTCAATGTATAGACAGATATGATCTCTGTGGCACAAAAACTATTAAAACGATCAACTTACCTCAAACTGTGGTATCAACATAGAGCACAATCTGGTTTCAATGGTATAAGAGAGACCCAGTTGCTTTATCCTCTGGTATCGAGGAACAGCACGATCTGGTTTCTATGATATAAGAGAGATCTAGTCACTTTATCCAATGGTATCAAGGTACAGGACGATCTGGTTTCTATGGTATAAGAGATATTTAGTTACTGTATCCTGTGGTATCAAGGGACAGCACGATCTGGTTTCTATGGTATAAGAGAGATCTACTGTAGTTACTGTATCCTGTGGTACCAAGGTGCAGCACGATCTGGTTTCTATGGTATAAGAGAGATCTACTGTAGGTACAGTATGCTGTGGTATCAAACAAGGTATAGCAAGATCTGATTTCTGTGCTATAAGAGAGATCTAGTTACTGCATTCTGTGGCACCAAGGTACAGCACTGTCTGGTTTCTATGGTGTAAGAGAGATCTAGTTACTTTATCCTGTGGTATCAAGGTACAGCACAATCTGGTTTCTATGGTATATGTATAAGAGAGACCCAGTTACTTTATCTTGTGGTATTTAGGTACAGCATGATCTGGTTTCTATTGTATAAGAGAGATTTAGTTACTGTATCCTGTGGTATCATAGCCTGCCACGCAGACATTCTTAGGGGTTTGTCACACGTTCCTGCCCCATGAACGTCTGCTGACTTGAGCAGAAAAACACGTAGACCAATCACAGCAGACTTCCAGATCTGGGAAGTGCACTTTGGACCCTGAAAAATTTCGCGCTTGACTTTATAGCTCAAAAAAGGTCAGTGAGGTCTCATGAAAGGTGAAGACCTTACAGTTTTAGAACAAACTACTAAGTTAACTCACAAGTGTTCTTACTAGTGGCTACCCTTACAATCTCATTGAAAAAAAATACCTCAGAGGTTAAATTTGCTGAACGGAAGTCGGCTTTACTACAAAACAAGAAAGTGTGAAAAAATATTCTGCCTTTTGTTCAGTCTTACAAGGTAACCCCGCCGTTGCATCACCCAAAGAACAACTTTATGAGCAAATAACATCTAATCCAGCCTGTACAGAGAGAAATATACAACAACCACCGTTTCTCTCCTAAATTCTCGTCTGGAGCAAAAATCTTTGGTCACGTATCACACGCTACAGAGCTTGTACGTATGTGTTTGGCTTGCCAACACTTTGACTTCAACAGCACCGAATGGATCTCCGATAATCTGCATGTGATCTCCAGCTGATATTTGTGAACAGTGGGAAACGAATTTGTCTTTCGGTTCTGCAGACGTTTGTGGGGCAGGAACGTGTGACGAACCCCTAAGAACGTCTGCGTGGGAGGCTAGTGTTATCATGGTACAGCACGATCTGGTTTCTACGGTATAAGAGAGATCTTGTTACTTTATCCTGTGGTATCAAGGTATAGCACGATTTGGTTTTTATGGTATAACAGAGATGCAGTTATTTTATCCTATGGTATCAAGATACAGCACGATCTGGTTTCTACGGAATAAAAGAGATCTACATGTGGTTACTTTACTCTGTGGTATCAAGGTAGAGTCTGATCTGGTCTCTTTGGTATAAGAGAGATGTATAGAATGGTATGGAATGGTATGGTATAGAATGTGACAATATACTGTTCTGCGTTCTCAAGTAAGAACACGCAGATTGACATTTGAATGTGTCTGGATTTTTCCAATTAGCAGTGATGCTAAGGAACCAGTTAAGGCCGTTGGACAATCCAAGGTTGGCATACGACCATACAAGCTTCACAATGGGAATGGACGGGTGGACGTCTGCAACCGTCGTCACCTGTGAAAATCTCAGGATCCTTTTTACAGAAGCTTTCCGCAATGTCTTTCAAAGGTGTGGCCTTACCTACCAGTGATGATGTGGAAAGCTCACTGAACCTCAAGGGGCAACATGTCACAGAACAGGCAACAGTATATTGTCAATAAGAGAGATCTAGCTACTTAATCCTGTGGTACCAAGGTAAAGTACGGTCTGGTTTTTATGGTATAAGAGAGACGCTTCATCCTGTGGTATTGAGGTATAGCACGATCTGCTTACGATCTGGTTTCTATGGTATAAGAGAGATCTAGTTACTTTATCTTGTGGTATCAAGGTACAGTACGATCTGGTTTCTATGGTATAAGAGAGATCTAGTTACTTTATCATGATCTTGTTTTAAGTTACTGTACCGTCTGTTTTTTATGGTATAAGATATATCCTGTGATATCAAGGTACAGCGTGGTTTGTTGGGGAAGTACATGTAAATTTGAGCTATAGTTGCGGATGGTGTGAAGCTTTTGAATTCTGGCGGCTTCTTGAAAAAAATGCGAGTTCAACTCAATTTCAATTAATGGGCAATCCTCAGTTTGGGGGGAGGGGGGTGGGGAATTAAATGTCCCAATAAGTGTTGACTGTGTGCGCGCCAGTAGGTACGAATGACGTCATATTGCTGTGAGTTATTTCTATATATTATGAACTTGTTTTATGCTGCATATGTTGTTTTTGATGAAAATTAGTCGATTTGTTTCTTTAGTAAGAACCTTCGTGAGATTAAGCTAACTTACCAGCGGAAGAAACTATTTTAAAATTTGGGCATGCGGGAGTAAGGGGACTTCTTTCGAAGAGTCAATTGCTTCTCATGGCTAGAAAATTAAACACAGTGTTGCTTAGATGTTTTCTTGGAGGTGCATTCTTACCTTTTTTGAAGAAGATCGAGAAATCCGCTGAAGCTATAGGAACTTTTTAACGCCGCGAAGAGTTACCGCGGCCGCCGACGGCCACCGCAAAGCCGCCGCCATTGTAAACACTAGTGTTCAGTCTTTCTCGAAATTTGTTGCACCACAGGCCACCCATACACACTTTCTGTAGCGGTTTGAAAAGCATGGCGAACGACTTTTGACCCAGGACCGAGATAAACGTACATTTTTTATTTATAAGCAAAGATGTATTTTCTCAATAGTGGAACGAAATGTTTAAAACCGTCAGTTTCAGTCAATGGAGTGGTATGAGAGAGTCATACACGCGGAAGGCGGCTGACAGAACATTCCAATTTTCGGAAACATGGTGGACGAAAAACCCAGCAAGCGAGACCATTCAGCGTCAAGATAGAGGTAAGTTAGATTACATTTAATCTTCATTTTACATGTTTATTCTATCTGGATCAAAAATTATTTTTTGAAAAGTATGTTTAAGAAGCAGCAAGCGTGAGATACAGCAAAGCCAACTTTAAATTTCGAGAAGAGTCCATTAATTTTGATGACCTTAACCAGGGTGAGGACAAAACATGGACCAAAGGTCCATGGACTCCCACCTTGGACCGGGTCCAT